ATGCTGCGTTCTTATTAGTCAATGAAGTTACAAGAATTCCCTTTGATGTTCAAATCATTTTATTCTGATCCGTTTCAGAAACAATTTACAAGATCACATAACCTAAAGGGTACTGGGGTATAACAGGAAAAGCGTTGTTCTTGGGAAGGATCAATATAAAATGGCTGTTTAGTCAAAGAAAATACTTGGAATGATTTTACATTATTTTTTATATAGTTATAGCTCAGTTCTAGGCAAGGATAAATCAAACAGGTAAATCTTGTATCATTTAATAACCTCTATTATAACCATAATTTCAAGTGAAACTATTTTATAAAACAACTTCAACGTCTATTCATAATTAATTTATTAAACATTTATTTCACTATAACACAATCTTTATTTCGAATGAAAATATTTCATAAATCAATTACACCTCCAAATAAAAGTGCAATTACATTTTTTGTACACGGTCCTTAAATGGAACCGTCTGATATTTTTGCATAAATCGATCCCTTGGGTCATTCTCGATATAAAGGGTGTAAGATAAGGTCATCGAGAGTTTAATACTTTAGGAACATTTCATTTTTACTCGACAAATTAACGTGTTCGAACATCACACTGCAAACATTTCCTTATATTTTTTTTCGATAGTTTATCATCAAAATTTAAACAATTCTCCTTTCTTTTATATCATTCACAATATTTCATTTTATTGTTCGTCGTTTATGACACTCTAACGACGTTCGATCGTCGAAGGATACAAAAATTCATGCGTTTCACGAGGTCCGAAACATTCACTTTCGATTCAAACGGATTCAAAGGGAAGAATCGAGTTAGTGATTGGTATCGTCGAGGCAATAGAATTTTTTCTCGATCGATGTTTTCTTTGTGCATCTTATCCGACAATTTGGCGCGAACGGTGATCGATGTTCCCGTATTATCAGGCTCGAGCACTGATTGGCTATTGTCCGGTGGTCGCCGCGATAAAGCGGACCGTATTTCCGGTGATCAGATCCTAATTGTTCCAACGTTCCCGAACTTTCGCTGGTATTCGCGAACAGACACGATATTCCTGACATTTTTCTTTCAACGACGATTCACTGGCGGATAAACGAATCGGCGCTCCGATTTATTTCTCCTCTTATAAAAGCTCCTATTATAAAAGGAGACGGAACGTTCTCGATAAAAGAATTCTCCGACGTTGAAACAAAATTGGGGAATTTGTACCAGAACGCGAGAAATTCGTTGGACGATGCTATATTTTATTTCAGATTGACAAAATTATTTTATTATCACTGTCATTGGACAAAAAATTGTACGATTTATAAAGAACTTAAAAACACTCAGATTTCTTATTTTATATTAATAACACACGCGAGAGCAATGCAGTTTTCTTTTATCCGATCTTCTGTAGTAATTCGAAACATGCTATTGGATCTATGTAATTACCGTACATTGTCGTTTACAGGATAATTAGAAGCTGCTGGCTGTGAGTAAATACAGCTTGGATTACGAAAACGATGTAATATTATGTATTACATAACATGAACCAAAGTTTAATTTAAAAGTTGCTTTCTAATATAATTTTAGTTAAAAAAATAGTCGAAACTCTCCGGGTAGACCTAACGATAAAAGATAACGTATCCGTTTAAAAATAAAAATTCGTCTCGACGTCGAGGGGTAATAAATAATAATGCGCGTTTAATGAAATTCTGCGAGATACAGGCGCAGCGCGGGCACGGGGATTTGTCGGCAAATAAATGAATATTCTAATAAATAAAAATCCGTTAATCGGTCTCCGTGCTCGTTGGAAATATTCCGACCAGCGACGGGGTTCATTTTATCTCGTATCGAGCGACGAACGACGACGAAAGGAAAAAAGATGGCGACGGCAAACAGAAAGTTCGATCCTTAAAATAAATATTCCCTTATTTCAATGATTTGTTTCATTACGCGCGTCGGGTGGCCCCGCGGATTGGAAGTTTTACGATACCCGCGAAACAAACGGCGGAATAAATAGCGATCGAACGCTTCGACGACCGTTTGTTGGAATTCTGTTTTATGCTTACGGGTTCGAACGGACCGTTGCAACCCTTTGCGATCGTGCATGTACACGAAGTGATTGAAAAGCGTGCGTTGGAACCGTGGAAACGAAAAATGTATACATTTTTGCGTAAATTTTATTTTCGAAAATAACAAGAATCTTGCAAGGGATTCCTTTCGTTGATTCTTACAATATTTTTGTTTTCGTACTGAGCTATTAGCCCCAAAAAAGATTAAGAATTCTCCCAGACGGTGCTGCGAGCTTAAAAGGATTAAGAATCGCTGTCTTAGAGAATTTGGAACATTTCAGTTGGGGAGGAAACGATCGTTGACGACCAAGAACCGTGTCTATTCGCCTCGACTGGAAGATATAATTCTTAACGAGGTTCCTGCAAACCCCGAGGGAACCATTAAGAGAACATCCATCTGTAAAATTTTGTAAATTACAATGTGGCGATTGTTACATACAGAAGTACTGTTTGTTGTCATTTAAAAAAAAAAATATTCTTTAAATGGATTCTGGACCAATAAATTTTACTCTAAAATTATAAAAATTATACCTTATAGTAAATTTAGTATCGTTGGATGTAGTGGTAACAAGCTATCTACTATTGTAGAATTTATGTTAATTACTGATGAATCAAAATTTACAAAATAAGGACTAATGAGTCTACATAATAATAATAATAATAATAATTATTATTAATTATCTTTATTGCGTAAACGTAGAATATGTATATGATTATTTAGTAATACTGTGTAATGTGATCTGATATAAATTCATATTTTTGCCCAAAATATGCCTTTTCGTGATTAACTAATGTTATTAATTATTAATACATGCAATACACAATTTAGATTAATCGCGAAATAATTTTTGCCCAAAATTCTAATCACTGAATCTGAATTCCATTCATGACCGACCTACTTTCTTCAGTATACAGCCGGAGGCTGTTTTCGGAACATAACCTCAACAATTTACGTGCATGGGCAGTGGTTCATATACAAATTTGCAATCCAGATATCAATGACAATTTTATAGTAATAACATTTTAATATTTTAATAAATGCATCCTAGACGTGAATAAATTAATTACCCAATTACTTAATATTTTCCAACGGATTGCTTTAACACTGTTGTACAGACTATTTCTACAATAGAGAGTGTGTCGTTATCAAAAGTACGGCGACTGAAGTATCAGAATTTTATTAATAGAAAATTATCGCCGATATCGGTATTGCAAATTTTAATATTCTGCTCGTAGATGTCAATTGCGTGTAAATAATTTCTTTTTAGTAGTAAAAAAAATGGTCAGTAAATAGTAATAGTAAAACGATGCTCCCTTTTCATATATGTAGATCGAAAAGTAGAAATGAAGATTTTCGAATAAATTTTTTTTAATGGAATTAGAAAATGTCTAGTGGAAACGTTATTTTATTGGGTTGCTAGTGAACTCGTCACGAAGGATAATCCAGAGCAAATCTAGCCATAAACGCATTTATGCAAGTCCAGAAAGGACTCTTACGTAGGAGACAACTGTTTAACGAGCCTGTGGGACCTGGTATTAAGCGACTAGTCTCGGTATTATCTGGCGGTTTAACTCGATCTGTCGGCAGTTAAAATATATCAGAATGCTTCGACCTCCAGAGATTATAACAACTTACGAACAACTACGTGTGCTGGTGTGTTTCTTCTTTTAAGAAAAGTTCGCGAGTTGCTCGATTAGCCTTACTGATGAGTACACCGACAGAACGAAACGCCTTTCTGCTGGTAACAATCTGTTTCTGCTAAGCAACTTTTTTTAAACTTTTCTTAAAAGAAGAAACGCAACGATAAGCTTTGTTATGTTTTAACTCCTCTGTTGTATAATGCAACCAATCAGGAATCCAACAGAAAGAATCCCTATATAGTTGAGCAAAGAAATTTATTATTTAATTTGAATATGAATTATTCGTAAGCGTATAAAGATTCAAGGATTAATTTCTTTTAATAATTTTTGAAAAGTAAAATAAAATTCGTGCAATAGTTGGTTTATTATCACGTAAAACGTGGAGGCTGAAGCCTCAGAATTTTATCAATAGAAAATTGTCGTCTTTCAGTTTAGAATCTCAATCGAGCACGAATTTTAAGCAATGGCAATTTTGAACGAATGAATTTGTCTTGATTTTAACTGTTACACCACGAGAATAAACATACGCAGTCCAAGATATTGATTACACTTGAGGCTAATCGCCTGGACCTCCAATGTGTTTTCATATTTTTGTTTTCATTTTCTTTTTATATTATTTTTTAACATAGAATCGAAGCTCTCTGGGTTGAAGTAAAATAGCCTTGCACCACTAATAAAAACAGACGCTGACGGCAGCTATTTCTGTCAGTCTTAAATACGCTTGTAACAGAAAGTTCGCACCCTTTAGCTCTCTAATGGTCTCACAGAAGACCTGCTTCCCAGTTTATAGCTTTTTCGTCATGATTTCTTGCGAAGCATACTTTGAACGTTGTTGAAAGATGCCTCATTAAATGTCAAGCTACGTGTTTTTAAACGGAAGACAGTAAAGACGATAACAATGGTAAACGTTAATTGCCTGTAGAAAGACAGAAACAAGAAACCTTCTCCTATCAATCTATACAACTAAAATAAGTCGTATATTTAATTTTTTTAAACCTGCTTAAAGTAATGTACCTACAAAATGTAGTAAAACAGGATGTTCCCTAATGGGGGTGTACTAAATCTCTCAGACCTCATTCCCGAGTTAATCACGTCTTTTGTTTCTGAGGATGTGAAAAATGTGAAATTTGTATTTATTATTAATTTAGAAGAATTTAATACGTTGTTAGTATTTCTTAAATTAGTTTGTTTAGAAGCCTGTTCGAGAGGAAGGTTACGAAACGAAAGTCGAGCGTCGTGGAAATCATTTTACGGTTTTCATCGATAAAAAAACGTAAAAGAGTTATTTTCTGGTTGTCTTATTAGATCCATGGAAGGACTTGCTCGAAGAGACCGAAGAAATTGGAGTTCCTAAGGCACTCTTGCGACGCGATAAACGTCCTCAGCGTACACGACAGCACGGTGTTATTTTCTACGCTATCCCATCGCATGTAAGAAATATCGGACAACTAACATTACTTACCGGTGATCATGCTCAGCCCGAAGATGCAAAGAACCGGTGAGTTATTAAATAGTGATTAAATTACAGTCACACAAATATTTATATCCATTTTACACAAATAGTTTCATCAATTTAATGTAGTAATTTTCATCGAAATTTCATTCCGTATTTTTACATTTTTAAATTTATTTTCTAATTTACATTAAAAAGAATATTTAAGTCTGCAACACAGTTTGTAGAAGATGATTCTCGTATTAATAGCCGGGAACAGTTATTTTAAATCGATTCGACGTTCTAATTATAATGCAGCGTCTGTCATACGTATTGATTAGGGGTGAAATTCAGGTGTTTAAATTTTCCGCTTAATTTAACGGCTAAAACTTCGAAACCCTGGCTACCGCGTAAACCAACAGATTCTCAAATCAATTTACAATTTAATAATTAAGTAATTCATGATTGTTTCGTTAAATACTGCCATTTAACGAAATTCTAACAGTTTAAAAATGTTATTTGTATTTGTATTCTTTCAGCTGGCGATGCGTTGCCAAAAACTTTCGATATCGTTTTGAGAATGATATATTTGTAATTTTTTAGTGAAAATCATTCGTAACGCGAGTCTGTTATCGATTTGTTTATACGTAGTTATGTGGAAACACGCGCGACAGATGTTTACACTTACTTTCTCGAAAACAGAATTTGTAATGGAGAGGATTTTTATTCCATGTTTTTTATTTGATATCTCGTGGAGAGTACACCTCTCTACTGCACGGAGATATTGGATATTCTGTATAGTAGTTCCGTGAAACCATATTCAACTATATTTCCCGTCGAGTTCCGAAAACATAACACAAAAATGCTGTTTCAAAACACACAAAACGATACGTTCTTACGAGACAATTGATCGTACCTTTTCAATATTTATTCCCTTCTTACGTAGCAGAATATGCAAAATTAAAAGAAAATTTCAAGTTTCATTTTTATTAAATACAAATCTCGAAAGCAATGTAACGTTTTGTCGGAGAGTGTACAGACTAATACTTTGCTATAGTAACCTATATCAAGTTTCTAAGCAAACACAACGTTATTTACTTTAAAACGAAAACATCTTGAACAAAGTCAGGCATTACACGTGGCTTACGAATATGGGTGGTTATAAACCGTTTTCCAAACATCAATATTTCCATTTTGTCCTCTATAAATTCATAAAATTCGCCACTGTGGTGTGTGGGTCGAATTTAAGAACACAAATACTTATAAATTGGGCAGTAATACCACTGTGGGGACCAATACTCTATGAGTCAACACCAAAATGGCGGACAGATAACTGAAAAGTTTTGGTTAGGTTGAAAATACCAACATAATGGCGGATAGTTTGAATAAAAGATTCTGGATTCGATGACGATGAACGTATATTTCACGCAGAATATCCGTCGGTATGTTCGCAGTGAGGGTGAACGATTCTCAGCTCATCATGATCTCTGAGAAGGCGCAGCACGATCATTCCATGACTGGATATTTGCACAAGCGGACCGCCGACTTGGCAAAGTGGCAATTACGATGGTTCGTTTTATATCAGGTGAGTTGGCTGATACTTGACCTCTTTTAATTTCGTTTATAGAGCGGGAATCCTCGCAGCTTTTAAACGCATTAACCGCAGTTAAATATACAGTAAAATGTATGAAATATTTTTCGTCGCCTGTCCGAAACTAACGATCAAAGAAATCTTCCCAGCGACGCAAGAATTAATTAAAAGTTCCATAAAACTCCAGTTAAAATTAGTCGTTACATACACATAATACCATCATCTCGCGATTCGAGGCAAAACATTTTACGCGTTATCGAGCAAACTGTGATTTCCCTGGGGAACTAAAAAAAGTTGCAAACTCTGTAGTTTCTTCAATTCATTCGAAAGTTTCTTGAGAACGCGTTCGAGCCACGTCGTAAAGTTCGCGGAGGATGAAGCTTCGATTAACACCGTTTTTTCGCGAGTTACCCGCGAAAGTCGCGAAGTAAAGTTTGTACTGAGAGCTCGTAACAGTTTCCATCTGCCACTTCTCGATTTTCCATTTCCAACCTCTCCTTAAAACTGGAATTGTAATCAATTCTCTGTTCCTGCTGTTATTAATGCAGTTTGCAAATATTTGTCAAAGCTCCCCTTTAAAACGTAACTAACGATAATTAACGAACAGGATAGTTACCAAACTCAAAGCTTAGAGTAAGACGAGCTAGGTAATTTGCTGGAGGACAATTTATATTTCAGCAGAATAACAGACGTACAGTAGTGCCTCGCTTTAAGACAATTTTGTACACTTTCCTTATATAAATTATTAGAATGTTGGGCTGTCTTTGTTGTTTCTTCCACAAGCTTGTCGTATTGGTGTGTTTTAGAATTTGTTGTTTTACTACGAGAACGAGCACTGTTCGAGACCCAACGGCGTCATTATGTTGGAAGGATGCTATTGCGATCGTCTGATCACCGTCAAAGGCAAGGAGCCCGACAAACAGGTAGGTGCTCGCAGCTTTTAGTTTTCGTGCAGTGTCAGATCTGTGTACGCGATGAACCTGTTCGACAAACGTGTAAATACCTCTCGGTGTAAAGCGAGGTTGTATTCTTCAAAGAGCGATTTACAACGCGCAGAGTAATTAATTGCGATAGCACGAACAGTTAGAAACCATTTTCGAACAGTGAATTTGTTTCGACGCATTGGCTGCCGTGCACGTTGCAGAGAAAACGATTTGTTACGTAACAAGAGATGCGCCAACGTTCTAGGAAAACCCCATCCTAGTCGTATAATTAACCAACTGAATTATTTACTAATGCGCAGCGGCGTAGACGTCGACAAATTTCCCACCACGATGGAAATTATTCATTCCCAATTTATCGAGTCATTAACATGGAGATTACTTTATAACTTTCGTGCACAACCGGGTCGGGCTACAGGGATAAAACAGCAGAAGAAAGAAATTACATTAGAAAAAGTTAAATGGTTATCTCTATTTATAGAAGTGGAACTATGTATTATTTCGTAATTAATGTTTCATTCTTTATAAAGGAGCGTTATAGTACTAAGACGATAAATGTTTAATTTAAAACACTTTTTTAGACTAGGTAAAATGAAAATCAGGAAGTTAAAAATATTCCTGCGAATAGTTAATGGTAAAAGTCCGTTAGGTCTTAAAAGTCGTTCCATTGTATGCTTTTTAAGAAAAATTTTTTTTTTTTAGTTTGATCGTCTAAAATAATGATTGTTGCCAATATCGATAAATTTATAGTATATAATTTGATAATAATATCGACGACATTCGTTGAATGTGCTCGTGGTTAGGTCAACATTGGAATCAGGTATGCTTACCTGGCCCAAAGATAGGTCAGAGCGTAAAAATTTAATTCGCCAGCCTTGACCGCCCGACTGGTGCATTATTTCATGACCCCGCGAACTAGATCTGCAGAGAATGTAACTTTGCGAATTTTTCAACATAATAGGCGTTGCTTGGTTGTCTGGGTGATTATGCAAGAACGTTTTATTACTACAGCAGTTCGGTAAAATCATTTCTTCGAGTTGCTCGAATGCCCCGGGCGACAGTACTTCTTTGTACTCTGCTCCTTGAAACTTGGTGCATTCGTTTGGCTAATCAGATTTAACTGTCAAACGTAGAAAGGAGGAAATTTATGGGTTACTAGTCTTAGAATATGCACGAAAGCAATCGTCGAGGTGATGTTATATTAAAGTTCCACGTTGAAATTTCCAACGAACGCCTCTCCCTCGCAAATGAAAACACCCTCTGACTTATGTTATCGAAAGAGGTTACCGTTAAGTTTTCACGAATAGGTCAGGAATTTAACGCAACTGGGTTGTAAAGTACTTCTGTTCTATTAAAGTAGCTCGTTAACTATATCTATATAGACTATAATCCTTGGGATTCCAGATTGGAACGCATCCAATCAATGCATTTGCACGGAGTATGAATCGCCATTATGCTTCTCCAAGATAGAGTGACATTTAAACAGTATCTGCCTGGAGACACCCACTATTGCAAACAAAAGTTTTTTTGCGATTGCGTTAAAAGAAATAAATCTAATTATTCAATAAAGTCTCTTTAAATGATTATAAATTATCGAGATTCTGAACTCAATGACTCGCAAATAATCTTACCTTGTATCATGAAAAGGTAATATTTAAAGAATAATTTTCGGTGGATTATTTTTAATCAAATTTTATTATTTTTGTCCATTTCATTAGTTGGCTATTTCCCATATATTTCTGATACACTCTGTATATTTGGCGAGATACCTGGGAATGCGAGAGTCCAGGTGCATTACGCAGGTATAAATGGAACAAATATCGACGCGATTACGCAAACAAATAGGGGTCCCTGGAATATTAGCATGCAATGGCAAACATTTTCCAACGAGCGTTTCCGTGTAACTTGTTATTCATAAAGTTACGCGCACGGCACAAAAAAAATCAGTCCGACCGAAACACGTATTTGAAATTGATGGATAGAGCTCGTTTCGTTTTATTCTATGTTTCTTTTTCGTTGCTCCTTTTAAACGAAGAGATATTTGAAAATATTTTTCAAGTACCTTTATCACGAAAGAATGTATGTAAAAAGATGCAGTGAAAATTCTGTTACTCAAACCTAACCTCACTTTTTATATTATACAAAAACATAATCTACAATAAAAACAAAAAATACAGAGCATTTATTTGCATAATTGGAAAGAAGATAAAATAAAAACAAACACTTAATCAAACATTAAACTTATTTCTAATGTCTGGTATAATTTACAATAAAATGAATCGGGATTCGAGTATTTTTGTTTAATAAATACATTCAAGTATATATTAAATATTCCTACATAGATGTATAGTATATTTGTATATTTGAGCAATCAATATTTGGGTATTAATTGCAAGAGTACGTTCGTTCGTTTTAAACATGATATCATCTGTAAACATTAACGTTCGCTATCGAGAGTCAGTGTATAAAAAAAAAAATTGTTGCACCAACCTTCGAAAATGGTACAATAAATTTACACATTAATGACACGGCATCGCGACATTTAATTTGCTCGAAGTCGCGTTTATCGTTGCAGCTGAGAATTTTATTACGAATCGTGTACCGCGTAACGACGTATAAAATTCACGCGAGACAGAACGCTGATTGTCCGGCTGTGTTCGAATTCATTTAATCGTTAATGCAGTAAGAGAATGAATATTTTCCGTCGCGATATGCATCAAGTCGTAACACGTAAAGTGTTAACGCGTAAGCTGTTCTATCGATTTCTTCAAAGGTCGCCTGACAGGTCAACTCCTTTTTTAATTTTTTCTTTTTTTTTTTCTCCTCTGCGCGTTGCTCCCGCCATGGCGCTCTCTCATCTTCAAAAGAGGATTATAAATCGTTTAGGCACTGCGGGAAACGTGTTGCACTTCGGAGGCTGCTTTGAGGAAATTGATATTTTTCAGACGGTGTTTTGAAAATGTCCACCGTCAACGAACGGTGCGAGACTTCGTTAGACGCGAAAATAATTTATCAGCAATAAACGTATCGTTTCACACTCTGTATAGAATTAAAAAATGAACTATACCCTGCGCAACGATTGTTTTTAATTAAACGAATTTACTTGTCGGGTCCACGATCGCGCCGGGCACTGTAATTGAAACAGGAACGTGATAATAATTTGTTAAAAGTAATTAAACGGTACCAAGAAAATGTGTTGTTTCCACGTTTATGCGAGCGAAATATTTCATGCGCTTTAACAACGAACTTCAACAATGGGTTCCAACACTGTTACGTAATTGTTATTTCGTGAATTCTAAAATAATCGTTGAAGTTCAATATTTATTTAAAGATATTGTTTCTTGTTTATAACAAGACAATTTTGCTTGAATTTGTTTTTTTTTTTTATCGCAACGCTTTGGGACGTTTTAACGTTATCTTTGATTTACATCTTTAATGTTTTATTCTGCACAAGCACCGAAACGTTATTCCGCGTGTTAGCGAATAATTACGTTTACAGTATGCAACTTCGTTTCACGGTTCGTCACAACCTCAAATAACATCTTCGCATTTTCCATGAATAAATTGTTCGCTTATTTATTCAAAAATAGAATAATCCAACAGTGGATTATTTTGTGCGCCTTCTGTACTCGGTATATAAACAAAGATTAATAACAATATTGTGATATAGTTCTACAAAGATTGGGACTTTAAATTTTGTGATTTTGCAAGGAAATTTGTTTAAAAAAATTACCCAAAATTACTACGATTCCGGATCACTATTGTTCGTATTCAGGGATTATTTTGATTAACACGTTGAATGCCAGAGCAAAACTGTAAAACTTTTTGTGAGATCAAAACTGTGATTTTAGATAATTGTAAATTACATATTAAAATTTCTCTTACCGCATTAAAATTCATGAATCCTATTCAATTTATTTTCTTTAACGTAAAAAGTGTTATCATCCATATATGGATGACGTAAGTAATGTTAAAAAAAAAAAAATTGTCTTGACACCTTAGTATGGAGATTCTACAGATTCAAAGAAACTCCAGGTGGAGATGTCAATTTACTCTTCCTTTGAGGTTGAAAACCGTCACACGAAAACTTAGATACAAGAAATCGTGGGTGGTAAACAAAGGCTGCTAGGGGGAAAAGCATACACACAGTTTTAGGAGAAAGGAAACGTGTAAACGGCGCCGGCTCCCAGAGAGCGAACACACCGGTCACCCATCTCGAAGCGCACGCGGCTAGAGCCCCGCTTTACGTGAAACAGCGGTTGGAGTCGACTCCAACCCATGAGACCGACTTCGCTGTAGTAACAACTAATTTTAATTTTTTTATTCTTGTACACTTCATCAATTCAAATAATCGAATAAAAATGTTTATTGAGGATTCGAGTATTATTAATTAATCGTTTATCCTTTACGTATTAAAAACAATTTTGTTAAAATTATTTGGAAAAAATTTGAAATTTATCCGATGCGATCAACTTTATTCGATATTCTTGATTGTAAAGAAATTATTATATTTCTCATAGAATTATTTTAAAAATATACGAATGGCGATATAGTTAGGAATATCCTGCGGCTGAGACTCTTAGTTACAAGTTCCTTTTGCTCGAAACAAAGTGAGGTTAGGTCAGAAAGCTGTGTGGTTAGACGCATACCGATCACAGTTCTAAACAACTGTTGCATGTTTCTGACTGTAGCTCCTCCAGCATTTCCTTTTGTGTCCTAACTTAGAAATTGTATGTCGAGAAGTTTGAAGTCAACATTAGTTGATACAAATACTCTTAGAAGGTCTCGTTTAATCGTACGCGTTACAAAGGTCAATTAAAACGTTCTCCATTCCTTTACATTTCTCAAAATAACTTCCTTGGAACCCATAATTTTAAATTCATTTGGATTTTTTAAGTAATAAAGTTTAAGTAATGAATGGAATGCCAATAATGAAAAAACTCTAAACGATTAAATCCAGAAAACAAAGAACAATTTTTAAA